GGGCGATCGAGGGTGGCGGGACAGGGATGGTGGCCATGAATTTCACTTCCAGTTTTTGGGTGTCACCAAAGTATGTTCCATGAAAAGTCGAAGACTTTAGTTTCCAGTCAAATGGTAAACCACAGATGAAGAGTCCACAAGAAAGACACTGTCCAGTCTCCTCACGGCTGTGATGCATATCTGCAGCGGGAAACAAGAGCGATAGAATGAAACAACAACTTTTACACGGCAAACTTTCTAACAAGCAAAACAAATATAGTGACCCTGAACCACAAAAGCAGTCTTAAGTCTCTGGGGTATATTTGTAGCCATAGCCAAAAATACATTGTAAGGGTCAAAATTATTGATTTTTCTTTTATGCCAAAAATCATTAGGATATTAAGTAAAGATCATGTTCCATGAAGATATTTTGTAAATTTCCTACCGTAAATATGCATTGCTAAGAACTTCATTTGGACAACTTTAAAGATGATTTTCTCAATATTTAGATTGTTTTTTGGCACCCTCAGATTCCCGATATTTAAATAGTTGTATCTCAGCCAAATATTGTCCTATCCTAACAAACCATACATCAATGGAAAGCTTATTTATTCAGCTTTCAGATGATGTATAAATCTCAATTTCAAAAAATTGACCCTTATGACTGGTTTTGTGCTCCAGGGTCACATTTGAGAACAAAAATCTAGATATACTAGCCAACTTCACTAAATAGCTTGTGACTAAACTATAATTAGTTGTGAAACTACAACAAATAGCTGTAACTTTATATATATTATCATTCAAAAGTTTGGGGTTGGACATTTTTTTTAAATGTTTTTGAAAGAAGTCTCTTATGCTCACCAATGCTGAATTTATTTGAATAACATAAAAACAATATAATATTACTATTAAAAATAGTAATATTGTAAAATATAGCTACAATTTAAAATAACTGCTCTCTATTTCAATATATATTAAAATGTTTTTGCTGTGATGATACAGATGAATTTTCAGCATCATTACTTTAGTCTTCAGCGTCACGTGATCCTTCAGAAATCATTCAGATTTGCAGATTTGGTTCTCAGTAAACATTTACCATCATCAACTGAACAAACGTGACAGTAAATGCATTCATGACGTCATACAAGATTTCCATTTCAAATAATTGCTGCTCTATTGAACTTTAGATTCATCAACAAAACTTGAAAAAAAGTATCAGTTTCCACAAAATATTAAAGGCAGAGTAAGCGATTTCTGGTAGCCAATGTTGATATTTGAAATCACCAAAACAAACACGCCCCTACCCCAAAAGGGTCTTTCCCCTATTTTGATAGCTCCGCCCCACATATATATGTACGCAACCCAGGCAACGATTAGTTCTGTGAATCAAAGCAAAACCAATGTTACACCGTGTCTACGGACGTGAGCGGCGCGGCGCAACAAATCCCCTACAGAAAACTGCTGCCGGGTTCTATTTATGACGTGCTGACACAAATTTCAAATGGTTTCAACGGTCGTTTGATCGCGTCCAGTGTAGGCAGACTTTAGCTGTTGTAGACACGGTGTTACTCACCTATTGAGAAGAAACAAAGCAACCTCGGCGTCCGATCGCAGGCCTCCGCTCCTTGAGTTCTCTCCAGCGCTGGAAAGCTGATCCGATATTTACACGTGTCCTACTTCTTGCCTTATCGTTCCGCAGACGTTTTCCTCTTATGTTTTTTATCCACCATCTCTATCTTTCTGTCGCTCGGCTCGGCTAATGTCTGTCCCATGCACTGAACGCGCTCTCCTCCACATCACGAGTAGACACGCCCCTTATTGCTGATTGGCTACAAGTTTGTTTTGCGATTCGGCCCGAATCAGTTTTCTAAAGTGTTTTTGAAAAATCACATACCCTACCTTTAAGCAGAAAAAACCTTTCCGCACTGATTGATTTCTCTCAAAACATAAAAAAAGATTGGTACTGCGTACATACATGACATACATTTTAACCTAAAAATAACTACCCAGAAATCATCTTGGTTTAATGCAAAAAGTCACAAATCTAAAGCAAAACTTCCTGTTTAACAACAAGAGCCAAGCTGATCACACCTCCAATAGCATGGCCAGATGGCATCATGCAGTTCATCCTCGCTTGCGTGCTTTAAATACACGAGCACCCGCCGACAAACAATGAGGATGTGTACAGCGATGGGGCAACCCAAAGTGAGCCTACGGGGTCAGGCAGCTCTTGTCGCCCAATTAACATGAGGGTGTCTGTGATTAACATGTGCTTGTGCTGCTGCCAGTGAAGTGTTTAACCTGAGGTTTCTCTTTTTTCAGAAGGGCCCAAGGTGTTGAGAAGCCCCAGCACGTGAGAGAGCCCTTCCTCCTCCTCTGAGAAACTCCTGCCACATGTCTACACACCATCCGTGATGTTCCTTCCTGCAGTCCAGTCAATTAATGCCAATGAGGCCACAGGACAATGACAGAAAAACATGGAAAAAGTGAAGCTGACACAGATTCAGGATTACTGGCAGAGCAAACAAGAGGTTGTGCTGCCAAAAACATGAGCGCGCTGTAACTGGAATCCATGTGTACCTGCACTTCTAAATACTAGTCTGCACCATTTTCCTCGTTTGGAATAATAATAATAATCAAAATGAAGGACTGTTAATGAACGTATGGGAATTATGTGCTAACCAAAAGCTCTTCTCAAACTTCATGAGGTGCATTTTGGGGTGCTTTTAAACAGTATTAAAGGAGTTCACATGTATGCATATTTTAAAGAACTTTTCCAGTAGGGGATGATGAGGTAGTCGGCAGATGTTTACTAAAGCACTTTAACAAGCTAAATTATCGGTCACCTTAAAAAGCCCCACTAATGGCCCATATATATCGGTCTCTCACTAACTTTCGAATATGAGCGAAACCGAAATAGCATGGAACAGACCAATGGAGTGGAACTTAACCTGACATGCAGTAAAAAAAAAAAAAAAACAGGAATTTCGTGGCTAGAGACACTAGAAACGCGCACCGGACTGCAGAATGTAGAATTTGCTCCTTTTTAATTCTTTTCAGTGCCACCTGAGCGCGCTCTATCAACCTCTGTTTCTCAAAAAAAAACAACACATGATAAAAACGGCAAGCAAAAATCATGCCTCACATTTTCTACACAGACAATTTAGTTCAATATAAACTTCTAATATTCGCTTTTTGAGAAACTTCATGAAAGTCTTGGAAAGTTACAGTCGTCCTTGTAATATTTCCTTATTAAACCCTGTTATTTTGAAACATCTTAGAAATAAACAACTCCGGTAGAAATGAGTAGAACTGAAACACTTGTTTCCCAAACATAGGGAAGAATGTGCAGTTAGTGTCGACCTGCCTTAAAATAAATAGCTGTGCAAATTAAAATGGCAAAGACACGATGGGAAATACTGTTCGATATAATGCCAGTAAAAATGTAAACTCCATAAATTCAATTCAAAAAGGTCAGTTTGGTGGAGTGCGGTGCAGCGGAACGAGAGAAGCACACATAAAACAGTACTTACGTTTCACTTCGTATCATTACGCATGTGATCCAATTTAGAACAAAATAAAAAAGCTATAAAATAATTCCCCGTCCACTGTGAGAGATTCTCACGCGTGTCTATGAGCATAAAACACCGGCAAACACTCGCTGAACGCCGGGCGTCCCGTTAACACACTCAGTCTACTGAAGCGAAACTCCCAAACTTTCGGTGCGCTCTCGAAGCACGCGCAGGGAGTTTACCAATCCTACTACTGGAACGTCTTATCTCATGAATATTAATTACGTAACGTGCCCCTAACACTTTTTTTTTTAAATTATCTTTTTTACAGTCTATGATCTAGCAGAAAGTGCACACTGGTAAGTAGTGGATAGTCCTACTAAATCGTAAAAAATACTACATTATTACAAAGATTTAAAAAAAAAATGATGTTACTAAACGGTCTAGGAAATTAATTCAGCAACCTCAACGTGACCTAATTAATATTCATACCCCTGGCCTTCTCCTTAGTAGGATTCTTATTTCACTACCAAAAAATTTATTATAATCTTTAAATTATGTTGTAAGAATTAAAATATTTAGTGTATACATATTCACACACATTTGATAGATACATGTACACAAGGTATTGGGGTTCCCTTGTATTTGCCTCAATAGACATACTAACAAATTATACATAATCATAGGACTAATCTTCCCATTAGCAATAAATGTTATCTGCATCTTTTTGAATAAGCAGTGAACAGAACAGGAGTCCTGAGAGTGCACCATGAAGCGAGAGAAACAGAATTGAGTGTAACAGCACTGATCTCAGTTCAGCTTCATCCTTGGTTAAAAATACCATCGTCCCAGACACAAAAGGCAAAAGTGACTGAGGATCAGCTCTCATACACTGAGAACATTCATATGGGCAGCCTCTGATCTTCTTGTCAGTTCCATTATCAAGGAAAGGCCAGTCGCTGCAAACTTCCTGAGCGTTGGAGAAGGCTTTGATCAGTGCTAGTGATGAGAACTGGTCATGGGAAACAGCACAGTGAGCGTTGGAGCTTTGGCCAGCACCGGGAAGGAAAAAACAGAATCCCCAAAATCAGGAGAAACATGGAAATGAGAGGATATCAGGTGACAGAGCGAGTGTTGAGTCCCGTCACCTCTACATCTGCAGCTTTCTCCCAGATGAACTCATGCTGAAAGGCACAGCTCATCAGAACAGGCATTTGTGAGGTTACGCCCCTGTATCCCTCAGCACTGCCGTGCCAGAATAGTATCTTTTGATCAATTTAATTGATCCTTGCTGAATAAAATGTTAATTTGCCTCATGTATTCTATATTAAATATTAAAGTGCCTCACACAAACTCTTTAATAAACGTATAAATGTAAAGATTCCTCAAGATTCC